AAAAAAAGCCTTCAATGTCTACCTCCCGAACAATTCTTCTTCATATCGGGGACGTGTGACCAGACGCCGGCTCCCTGTACGTACACGCTCCCGTACAAATGTGTGCGTGCGCGCGCGCGCCTCGGCCATCGTCAATCCGATAAATTCGCCCTTTCTCCGACCACCCTCTCGCTGGTCGTTATCGTAGCGGCAATGCTTTTCCAGACACCGGAGAAATAGTTCTCCAGATAGTGGAGGAAAGTGCGCTTTTTTGCCCCGCCCTTTTTTCTTTTTTTTTCTTCTTCTTTTTTTTTTTTTTTTCCTTCTTTTTCCTCTCACCTCCCCTGATATCGCCCGACCGATTTCGTATCGAACCGAATGATTTCTGGCTCGAAACAAACGAGTGTAAATGAACGGTACGATAAGTCGCGCGATTTATCAAGCCTTGCTGGCTGCAAGGCTCCAATCTTTGCTTAACCCTTTATCGGGAAACCCTCTCGGTATATATTTATTTCGCTGTAAAGGAAAGAATTTATTCGAAATCGTGTTAAAATCGATCGAGATTTAACCAAGGTGCAATTTCCTCTTTCTCTCCAATCTTTAAATTTCGATCATGAGGTGTGTACTTCTTCTTGGAACGTTTCTGAAGTGATTGGGAACAAATAACAACAGGAGTAAGACTACTCCCTCCCCAATTATCCTCTCATCTTTTCGTCCTCGTGCTCGTTCACCGATCCACGTTTTCATTTTCACCTGAGCCAATAGATCCAGGCAATCGATGGAGCAACAGCCCCTCCTCGTACCCCCTTTCAGCTCTATTAATTGTCTCGCCGAATCGCGCAACGCACCACACCTGAAGGCGTCTCCACGGTGACCATCGCGTTCCATAAGCAGAGGAGGGGATGAAACGGCGACGTCCACGCGCTTAAGGGATGAGTCGGTCGGATGATCGGCGGAGGAAATGGCCGGAGCGGTTTTCACCCGAACAATGGAGAGCCAAGCCGACGAGCTTTCCAGCTTTCGCGTTTCTCTGCGAGCGAAAGAGGATAAAAGCGGGCAAGCTTCCGTGAAGTCAATTGAAAAACGCATCGGAAACCGCCGCGCTCCTTCCTCCCTCTTCCTCCCCTATCTATAGCTGGATCCCTCTATCTCCGCCCTGTCTCCTCTCCCTCTCGAGCAGCCGGCCTGCCTTCACCGATATTTATTTACGCGAATCAAACGCGACTCGTCCTCCTCCTCCTCGTCGTCGTCGTCGTCTCTCCTTCCATCCTCCACCCACCACGCCTCGGCCCTGTTTGTTTCCTCCACCGTGTGTTTGCCACTTTTTGCCACGTTTTGTTATACGAGCGCGAAGCGAGCGCTCCTTATCGCGGCAACGATGCATTCAGCCGGACAAGGAAAACCGTGGCCGACATTAACTGGAAGGGAAGGGAATTATGTTAATCGTGAGCCACCGGTGAATTAAAATTTCAAGCTTCTCGCGCGCGGGGATCAAAGAATTTTCGCCGCGATTAGAAACTTTTGACGATTAATTACGTATATATAGATTTTTGGAGAAAAAGTAGTTTGGAAAAAATGTCTGTCCAAAGGATATATAATATTGCTCGATCAATTCGAAAGAGATCAAAGAAATTTTCGCGGTGGTTAGAAATTTTATGGATAGGAACGGTTACATATCGTCGAGATTTCGAAGAAAAATTTTCCAAGTCTTTCACTCGCTCAATTTGAAACGAAGGAATTAAAGAAATTTTCGCGATGATTAGAAATTTTATGGGTAGGGTCGAGTGTAACGAGGTATGATATTACGTTTAGAAGAAAAATTTTATAAATCTAAAGGTTAATGTAATAAATATGTAATGTAAATAATGTAAATAAACAATAAGATAATCCCTCACCTTTTGCAAATAGAAATAGAACGTAACGATATTGAACAAAAATCGAAGAAAAAAAGACAATTTAAACTTTGCTCTCAGAGCAAAACGAATCGAACCATCCTCTAAATTTACAAATATCCGGATTCAAATTAGAAATCTATCTAAAAACGGGGGAAAATTGTAAGAAAAATATTCGCATCTTTTTAATACGTAATTGGACGAAACTGTCGCGAAAACAAATTTTATCTCGCTACGTTGGGCGCGATGGAAGGGTTTACGCTTCCGTGTAAAGTGTCCGCGCGCACGTGAACACCGTGTTCAACGATACGGGGACGGACGAGGAAGAAAGTTGGAATATGCAGGGGCTGGGCAAAAACTAAAACGGCGGAGTGGCGTGATAAGGTGCGCCGCGTGCACCTCCGGATCCACCCCTATCAAACTCTATCCCGCATACCCTGTCCCCCCTCGGGCCGTGTCCAGCCTCGGCCATTACAAATTCAACCGTGGAAATTTTCCTCGATATATTTCCCTCCTTTCAAATTCGTTTTAATATATATCTTATTACCATTGCGATTACGTGTCACGATAAGAAATAAATATCGAATGTACAAAAAGTCTTCGTAACGCGAGAAAGTTAAAAAATTTTTAAAAATTCCAATTTCCAAATGTTATAGAATATTTGAAAAAAAAAAAAAACCTCGAAGAGTTTTGATCTCGCCTCTTAAGAGAGTGATATTACATTATGATCAACACACTCGCAATGTTTCGTATAAAAATATTATTATTGGTTTCGATAACACAAATTATTAGTTGCCCTCGTGTAAGGTATACCTATAAAGATTATTGCGACTGACTGTATCGTGTCATGCTTGTCACATTCTTCTCTTATCGCGATAAATATAATATTTCGTCGTTTCGTTTTAAATAAAGAGGAAAAAAAAAAAGAAAGAAAGAAAGAAGAAGAAGAGAAGGGGACACAAAAATGTTCAAAATAACACGGATTAATTGGATTAACCGTGCAATTGGGTGGAGATTCTTTCAGGGATTAACGGGTTGTTAAATTATCGAGTTGAAAGTCGATAATGGACGGAGGAAAAATTCGATAGAGAATTCGAAACAGAGACGTAAAACGTGTCCCTGACTTGGTTACCGCTTGTAATCACGCTCGGATAGCCTAAGTTTTTTCCAAACTGGAACACTACTTTCGAGTCCTTTTATCTGATCATCCCACCGGTCTCCATCGCATCGCCACGAATACGAGGAAAGCACCCTCTCCTGATAACACCTTACCTTATCCCACCGTTTTGGCATCGAACCAGTTAACATTCGCAATTAGATACTGGCAATTACTAGAGTAAAAATGTGCCGTTGGAACGGAATCGCGACGATGACCGATACATATGTACGAATAGCGTCACGAATATTTCGATCAACTCAATGCGGATAACAGTATTTCGTTACTTCTCTAATTTCAACCACGTCACTGTGTTATAATATTACGATTACTTACTTAAATACAGCGCCAGTTCGATCGAAAGATTAAACAAAATGGAGTACAAACACGTGAGTTGCGCAGACTTCCTCTTATCACTTTGAATAGATTCGTAAATTCGAATCGAGAGACGATCATCGAATCGTCATCAGACGTAAAAAAATTAGCCGTTCAAAGCAAAAAACACAATCGAGAACTATAGTAGATCAATGACGGTGAGTCATCGATGACGTGTGCATTATCAGCCGTGTCACCTCCCATATATTCCAATTCTCTATAGCGAAACGGAGAGAAACGGATGTCGAGGCGTTTTTTCGTTCCATTGCCGAGCTCCGTCCTTCGCAGCTCGACGAATCCTCATTAATCGTTTCGTTTCGTTTCGTTTCGTTTCGTTTGGCCGCGAGCGAGATCGCCACAACTCGTTGGAAAGGTTTTCGGCTCGATCATTTATCTGTCGCAAAGGGAGGGGGAGAGGGATCTCGAGCCCCATTATCATCGACACGATACATCATCCGCGAGTCGACTTTTGCCAATCTCCTTCCTCCGAGGACACCGAGGGAGGAGGCGAGGAGGAGCATGAAAGCGGCTCCGAAACTACGTGCCCTGTGTCTCTGATTTCATAATTTCCGTAGGCGGGACGTGCGCCAGAGAGAGAGAGAGAGAGGGAGGGAGGAGAAGAGATCAGAATTTAATGCGGAGCATCGAAGACGAGTTTCGAGGAAGGCCGCATTTGTACAAACGGGGATGGATCGGGAGATGGATGAACTTTGAAGACGTTTGGGGAACGACGACATGTTGGATCGAATGGATTTCGATTCCCCTTTTCTGAGATCGTTACGAACGATGAAAAATGAACGAGTTTCGAGAAGAAACAGTTATACGCTTGTAAAATTATCTCGAGAAACTAACCAACTAAATTTAAGAAGGAAAGTAAGAAAGAAATTGGAGGACAGGTGCGTGGAATACACCTTTCTTTAAAGAAAAAATCGAATTCGCTCGATATCGATCCCGCCTTTAATCTCGAGGAATTAATTTCGCGACCCACTTCCCGTCCACGATCGGATCCCCTATCTTCCTACGTTCGCGCCTCGTTCCCATCAACGAGAACAACTATCGGCGAATTAATCAACGGGGCATAATGACGTTTATGGGACAACGATGGTACGCGATGATCGCGTTTAACGACTGGCGTTGAAAAAAAACGGTACATCAATCACCCCCGAACAACCGACGCTCCTCTTTTAACTTATCGTCACCGTTGTTATTAAAGAAACACGATAAAGAGAAAAAAGAAAGGGGAAAAAAAGAAAGGGAAAGAAAGAGAAGTAAATCGTAAGGTGGGATAAGGGAAAAAATGAACCCGTTTAAAAATTCCGATTCCAGCTAAGCCAAGCTTGAACGAAATTAATAAGGGGCATTCGTGAAGGAGCGCAATCCCATTGCGGATATAAGTTTCCCTCCCTTGTTGGTTCGTTGTTGCGCTCCGTGGGAAGACGCGTTGACACCGCCGGGTGGGGTGAAGCGCACGGAGGGCGGCGGATAAGGGTGGAAGAGACGGGTGGGTGCTTTTAGAGCCGCTTAAGTAATATAAATGCGAGTTAAGAGACGGTGCTCGGCGAGCATAGGTAACGGATGACCGCTGTATCTCATTGTTTTCATTTCCTTCGGCGTGCCGGCTAGCTGTAAGACGCGGAAATGAAGTGCGCCGGCTTGCCATCTGGAAGGGAAAGGAGAAGGGTAGGGGATGGTTGACTGAGGAGGCGGACACCGTTCATCCCCCTTCGCATCCTGCATGACAACGAACCTGCTATCCTCTCCCTTCGTCTCTCTCCCTCTCTCTCTTTCTCTCTTTATTCGCATATAATATGTGAGAGAGACGACGTTCCCTTTGGACGATGTTTTCGCCTCTGTTCGCTCGTTCGCACGCGCCTCTGAGCATCCGCTGGCTTATTATTATATGTATTATTATACATGTGTGTGTGTATTTGTGTGTACAAGTACGCACGCGTGTTCACGTTCCACTGGGATAAATGGCTTCCAGAAGTTTGGTGTCGCGATTTTATTTATTTTTTTTCTTTTTTTTCCAGAATTCAGGCAAAATGAATTTTCCTCCGGAGTGAAAAAAGAACACGATTATTGCTCATGAATGGAAAAATAAGATCCGATTCACTCTCTTTTTGTACATATTTCGTAAGATATTTCTCTTTCTTAGCGCGAACGGTTCCAAAATACAAAATTTGAATCACCGTTTAGCAATATTGATGATAAATCTGCAAAATTTCGATACCATTAACGCTGCGCGTCTAATAATTCGATAAACGTCTGTTCGAAACAGAAGAATAGAAGCAAGCCTCGAACTGGTTGGATAACCTGTGAAACTGGTCATCGGCCCTTCGGCTTTTCCGACTGACACGTTTCGCCTTATCCAAACCGTCGATCGGGTACGGGTTACACAGCAGATAGAGCGAGATCCCTCGGCACGTGACAACGATGCAAACGACTTATTACAGCCCGGCTCGAGGTGATAATATTATAATATTGAGGTCGGCGGCGCGGGTGTGGCGATGTCCTCGTGGCTCGCGCGTTTCCCGGCGTCGCAACAGCCTTCTTTACAAGTCGATTCTCCATTCTCGTTACGATCTCGCGTTTCACCTCACTGCTCCTCGCGCGTACGATCTACGATCGTATCGAGACGATGGATAAATAGGGAAATTCGTATTCGTCCCGAGAACAGATCGGAGAATAAGAAATGAGAGATCGAAACTAGGGATAAGGAGGGAGCAGTAACGAAACTTTTCCTCCGTGAAAAGGTTTCCTCCTTCAGAAACAATTTTCTAACTGGCATAACATTTCCCTCCGATTAACCTGTTGAGCGAGCCGTGAGCTACGTAAGCTTAACGTCGTGGTCGTACCAGAAATCGGTCTTGGTAATCTGACCGATCAACAGGTTACGTTCTCCGCCACCTGCGCGGATGATGCCCCGCCTCTCCTTGCCAATTAACAGTTTCCTGTAGATCAACACGTGGTGCCTCTGATCACTTTCAAATATTATTATTCTGTTATCCCGTAAACAAGCATTCTTCGACGGACGAAAAATAGTCGAGTCGTTGAAAGAAAAGAATCGTAAAAATTGAGAATAATTGTTCTTTCTCTCGAGAGTGAGGAAATAAAGTTGTCAAAAAGGCTATGACAAATATTGGATGAGATCATTCCGTGTTGGGAGAGGGCGAGGGAAGGCGAGAGAGGCGATTTCTTGCCCTTTTTTAGAGATTAGAAGCGGCGCTTCACTCCGGACGCGTTGATATGATCGGCCTCTCCTAACGAAGTCACCCGGTATACCTGCACGTGGTACGGGGGTGGGCAATCGGCGAGGATCTCGTGTGTCTGTCCAAGTATACCAAGTTAACGACCACATCGGATAATTTCTCGTAGCCACGGTGGAAACACACGAGTGCACCCTTCCACGTTCGTCACATTGGTTACGATCACGATGGACAGCGTTACATTTCCACATTGGCAATTTGATCTTATCCCACGGAATTCCATCCCATAGGAATTAAATTTATCGATTATTCTTCGAGGAATGACTTAACTTTGAACCAAGATTTCTTTTACGATCATCGTGTCATCGGATAAAAAACTTTTGATTCTATCGCTCGAACGTATTTTTCTCGAATCTTTTTTTTCTCTCTCTCTCTTAGAAGAATCGTGCGTTTATGTTCTCTTTTCCATTCATAATTACACAAAGAAATATTCGTGGAATAAATTTTCATTCATTGGTCGTGGATATTCATAAATTTTGTAATTAACGAGCACACATAAAAACGTAGCAATGGAATGACAGGGAATAGTGCAACGTTTATGAAACATCGTGGTGATAGTCCAAGGTAAAATTTTCGGAATTCTTTTTATTATAGGTTCCTTGAGTATTCGCGTTGCAATTGCTCGATTTCTCTCCGTGTA